GGCCATTTTATTTTGAACTTATGACCTTAGACATTTGTGGTGACTATTCCTTGTGGACAGTTCTCACACACAATGCCACATGTCACAGTTTCTTAAGCCATAACCGGACGAGAAACGTGTGCAACTCGACCTCCCTCCTGACCTGTGCCAAGGGAAGATGTTCTTGTGACGTGGATCGTGACCAAAAATGGGATTCCGTCAATGAACGATGTGCTGTTGGAAAGGGGAAAACCTGTCGCATCTCGAGGAACAACCTTGTGCCGGACAGTATCTATCTAAATGCAGTGGAATCACCTTATAATCAAGTACCTTGCATGGCAGGATTAAAATGTGTCATTCTCACCAGTACGGAATACTTGAGGAAGGGAATTTGTGCAGATAAGCAGGTACCGCAATGACGATTTGAATAATTTTTTAAATAAAATTCAAGCATTAATTTTTTTGTTGCTAAAATTACAAGGAAATACCTACCTCTACCCCTCCAAATGGCGAGGTATCCACTTCCGAAACAACCGTGGGTTAAAGGTATGTCCATACCACCCGCACAAATAACATGGTGAATGAATTTACCGTTGAAAATTTATTTTATTGTCATAAAATTGGTGCATTATAAATGATAGTAGATATAAATTTTTATTCTTCTAGACCCATCGCATTTTTGTACATAATTTATTCCAAGGATAAGCATAAATTTATTTTTTGAACAAAATATCATAATGCTTAACTCCGCATAGGATCCCAACCAAATTTTAACGATATCAACACCACCTTTTAACGAAAAAGAAATACTGTCATAAAAAATTCGTTTCTAATATTTAAATTCTTAATTAACTAAAGTTTTTTTTTCATTTCCAAAGTATGAATTCTCCTGCAATGTTGCACCAATTCGGGAAATCTGTGAAACTTTTTGCCGCAGAAGTAACATTCCTGTCTCTTTTCTTCATGACGCTTCAAATGGTTGGTCAAGCATCCCTTCGATATGGTCTTGTACTCGCATTTCTCACAAAAATATACGGGACGATCCTCTACCGGTACGTGTTTTGCGGCCACATGCCTCCTCAATGCGCTTGGATACCCGAACTTGGATACCCGAACATCATATCGCAGCTGGAACATCTGTGCGTCTTCTTGTTTTCATGACGAATCCTTATGTGGTAGTCGAGGTCGGGTTTATGCAAATAATTCTTGGGACACACAGGACACGGAAACACAGATCGCTCAGATTTGTTCATATGGCTCAACTACCGATAGATAAAAAATCCACGAATTATTACATCGTGTTAAAAAAATACTTCGAAATTCAATTGGTTTCAGACACTGATTATATTAATTTCTATGCCAGCCGAAAATATTTGACAGTGTTATTAGATACTAAGAGCAACAACGGGGAACGTTTTAGTTGAAAATGATGCATATTTTAATATTACCCGGGTACATACATATGTAAACTATTTTGATGACCCTGAAATTCTCTTAAGAAAAACTGCATAGTTATCCGATTTGTTGAAACTAATAGAATCCATAAAATGAAAATTCAATTCCTGAAAAGAGAAGCTTGATAACTAACCAACTTCTATATGTAGATGAAATACCAATCTACAAACTCTGCGAATCCGGGAAATTTAAAAATATCAATATTTTTCAGCTCATTGGCAGAAACTATTGGGTATACAATACATATTTCTAACTCCCTAGCCTTACCATGTGATACCTCAACCTGGCATTTCCTGCAAAACTCCTCCCGCAAGTTGAACATTTGAAGGGCTTCTCGGTCGTGTGGGTGGAAATGTGTGTGACCATTCCTTGCCTGGTCTTAAAAACATTTACACATAGGGGGCACTTAAACCGGTCAGGATTTTCATCATGTTCACTTCGAAAGTGTTTCCCCATGTGATATTTGTGCAGAAAGATTTTTTCACAGCCAGGGAATTTACACGGAAATGGGACACGCTCTGCTACGCTATGAATATTCTTCATGTGCACGTGCAGATTAGCTCTCGTGGCAAATACGCGATGACACTTTGCACAAGGATATTGTCTTGAGTCTTCGTGAATACTTCTGACGTGATTACGGAGTACGAAGCTATTTTTTAGAACTTTCCCACAAATCTGAAAAAAATAAAAAAAAATATTTGTAGATTTCTACATGGCATTTATTGTACAACTTACCCCACATTTAACTTTATCATCGTCATTATGAGTGAACATATGCCTGGCGAGGGTTTGTTCAGATATGTAGCAAACGCTTAAAACAGATAGAACACTCCCGCTTCTTTTCTGGGCTTGGTTCCATTATCTAAACGTGAAATGAGTAGAGATGTCAATATGTCGTGTCCAGGGTAAATGTCGTGTCACGCGTCATAAATGTCATGTCATGTCATAAGTGTCAGTAAATGTCAGTATATGTCAAACTATTTAAATGTCTGACTTTTATGACATTTACGACATGACAAATTGACAAATTGGACAAATTAATCTCATTCTGCCCCATGCAACCGGAAAATTCAATTTATGTGCTGTAGCTCTCTATTTTATTCTCACGGCATAAGTTTTATTTAGTATTTTTTATATAAATCATTTTAAATTTAAAAAAATGGAGGTTGAAGAAGATTTGGAAGTTACGTTTGATGAACAAGGTAAGTTAATTTGTAGTTAAAATAAGTGAGGTTACTGCTTAAAAAGAGTTTGCTGCACTTATAAATTACATGTTGTAAATAAAACTAATTACTAATTCGATATTTATTCTTTAGCAAAAAGTACTTGACTGGGGTGCTAGCGTTCCTGATGGAAAACCATCTCTCAGATTGGAATTTAATTTTATCGCGCTTTACCCTCAGAGTGAACTCCCCCGACTAAGAAAGATGGTCCAGATTAAAAAACGTTGTAATAATAAGGCTGCTAAGCTTCAGCAGGTAAATGAGATTCATTTGTACTCGATATGATAAATATAAATAAAATTTCTTATTAATTTTGTTACAGAACTCCGAGTTGACAGCCACAGGTGCGGTCACCTCATCGTCCGATGCAGCCAGCCCATCTGTGGCTGTTGTTCCTGTCAAGAAATCATGGTGGGAAGAATACGACGATAAGGATATCATCGCTTTTGATACCGAAATGGTGACCAAGCCCAAGCATTCTGATCGTGGAGAATATAAACAACGTGTTGCAAGTATTGATGTGGTTGATTACAACAAAGAAACGATATAGTCCACGCTAGTCCACCATCGCCCAGGATCATTTCGTGATTGCTTCCCATTTAAACAACTCACAGGATTTAATAAAGATTCGGTTTCTAACCCAAATCTACCCAGCGAGGAGGAAGTGATTGCAGACGTTAAGAAAATTTTTAAAGATAAACTTATCATTACCGTGGGAGAAGAAAGTGATTATAGAGCATTAGGACTTGAAAAAGCTGATTTTGACACTTCTGACCTTCAAGAGCATTTTTTCGTAAAAAAACAGAATGAACATGGATGCATTGTTCGCGAAAATCACAGCCTACGCTCACTATCTTCACATTATTTAGTTAACAAACAGACTTCCGAACATTCATCATCAATGGAAAATGACAATGGAATTGTTTCACGTTTACAAAACAATTAAAATGAAAGATGACAAAGAAAATTATGACAAAAGATTTAATTCGTTAATTTCTTACAATTCAATTTCTGTTATTCCTAGCTCACTAAAGCAAAGAAATAAATGATAATTTATAGATTTAATTAACTATTAAATAGTGCAACCAATTAATGAACTACATATATTGTTTTAACATTTAAACATACAAAGAAAGAGTCGACCGATAGGATAACTATGGCTTACTGCTTTACTTTGAAGGTTTTACTGGCTATTATCCGCTACAGAAATTTTGGCAAAATTTAATCACATATTCAAAGTCCAAGGTATGAGCACAAGGGACATGTGGAATAATTTAATTTTCAAACTTCCACCTTTTTCTTACGAGATGGCAGTTTATATGTCATAAATGTCATAAATGTCAAGTTCAATTTGTCATGACATTTTGACATATTGACAAATAGCAACTTTGACAAATACTGACATTGACACGGTGTTTTTAAATGTCGACATTTATGACATTTATGACATGTCGACATGTCGACATGTCATGACAAATGACATATTTAACATCTCTGGAAATGAGATGTTAAAATTATGATTTCATAAATCGATCAATCTTGATCCTTTGAATTTATTGCTTGCCTGAATTATTTTAATCAATTTTGGTGTGTTGGAGTGAAAGTTTGCATCTCAGCTAACACGTCGTCTCGACTACTGCGCAAAAATTTTACTGATAAAATACAAGAATAAACCTTATTTTCTCTTCAACAAGGCCAGTATGGATGGCAATCCTTGAGACGAACACAATACATCCTTCAGTTATTGATGCTGCACTAAATTTGACCGACTAGACACAATCTTTTATGCATGTGACATGAAGAATTTGTAACCTTGGTTAAGCATAGTTTATATAAGTACATAGCTTGCGTAGAGTAATAGATGCTCGTTCATACCTACATAGATGGATAACCCACTTGCCTCGTTTTCACTAAACCTTTATTTGTGGGCTGATAAAAATAATATACAAATGTTTCACTCCTACCCTGTGACAAAGGTTAGTTTTCTCCACCCCACGAATTTAGGTATACCCAAAATATGATATATAAAAATCACATTGTTCGTATAGTTCTCTAGATTACTTGTACTGCACACATAGTTCTAAGCACACAGTGGAAAAATGCCTTTCCTATAACCTTTTCTTGGAATTGGGCCTTGGGGCGGATAGGCCGTGTTCTTCATTTCAGGGAGAAGGACAAACTTTTATTATTCTCTACCCCTCGCATTTCACTATAGCCAAAAAATGTTATATAGTAATCAATTCGCCCATATGATTGTACTTCGTAAGCATCCAGTGGAAAAATCCCTATCCTTTAACCTCTCCTTGGAATTGAGGCATAGACTGCATTCTCCAACCGCATTGAGAGTGAATCGTGGCAGGTTGAATTGTCCAGTCAATTATTTACATAGAATCTTTCCTGTGTGAAAATTTCTTAGTTCGGACAAATATTTAGATCTCTATAGTTTGGAAAATAATTCAATCTAACCCGTCACCATTTTTCATATTATTTTTTCCTCTAGAACAATGGAGAAAGCCGAAAAACCACAATTCCATTGTCCACACTGTTTAAAAACATTCAAAAGAAAATACGCCTTCACCACACACCTGGCCATCCATGATCCTCATGGTCATGTAAAATGTTCGGTAAATTAACTACATAAATCAAAATGTTATCTTACAAATTATATATCCTCTAACACATACTCTAACACACGGTGTAAATTTACAGATTTGCAGCAAATCATTCAAAACCAAGAACAGCATGATGTCCCACGTTTCAAGCATTCATAAAAATAAAGTTCAACCAACTTGCAAAATTTGCCACAAAACATTTGCTAATTCTGCATCTTTGCAAACTCATACTTACCGTGTTCACCGTTTCACGATGCGTCAACGAATACTCTGCCCATTTGAAGGATGCGATAGGACGTATCTTAATAAACAATCAGTCGATATGCATGTCAGTGTCGAACATACGGAGAATCCCGACCTATTTTCCTGCATTTTATGCGGGAAAAAATTCAAATTTAAATCGAACCTATCCAATCACATTGTCACACACACGAAGGAGAAGCCCTACAAGTGCCCTATATGTGAGAAGATTTTCGCTATAAAAAGTCACTTGAAAAGTCATGAGGTAAAGTTTTCCAATCCTAGAATATCCTATAATCCTAGAATCCTAGAATTTCCAATCCTAGGTACGAATGTTATTTCTGCGGGAGAAAAATTCTCCAGTTTCAAAATTTGGCCCTCCACATTTCCAGAAGGCATACTTTCGAGGCGAAAAGGTCATTCTTGAAGTAGAAGAATAAAGACCAACCTCCCAATACATGACGCGAAATTGGTTTTCTAAAAATTATTAGACTCCCTGATGTATATCTGAATTATAATTCTAGATTCTACATTTGGTGTACAATTAAATTCTATTAAGATGCACTAAAATGTAATTTTCGAATTTAAACAGAACTGAACGAATACGGGTTTGTGGGAGAGTAACGCAATTATGTGTATTTAATGTAAGATGCAGGGCGTCGGAGCTGATTCAGATATACAGTTTTTATTAAATTATACAATAAGCCATTTCCACAATAATTTAATGCTACGAAAATTATGTTTACACGAATCTAAGTTAATAGACTGAATCACCACAGTATAATGCTTATTCAGGGTACAGGGTGCGTAATTTTAGGATGGTGGGAAGGAATACTTTCTAAGGCTACCTTGAAAGAATGATTACATCTTTTGTTGTGGAAAATTTTTGTTGTGGACAATTTCTCCAATAAAAACAGGTACACCGATCTCCACCGATCAGGATGAGATATAGAAATCACATTGTTCATATTGTACCTAAGATTGCTTTACATTCAAGCCCAAACACGCAATGGAAAAATTCCTTTCGTTTAACCTTTTCTTGGAACTGGGCCTTGGGGTTACAGAGCATCCCTTAAAAGATAGAAGGGCAAAAGTTTTATTTCTCTCTATACCTAGCATTTTGGTATAGATACGAACAAGACGAAATATAGTGATATGCGAGAATTTCGTATTGCTCATATAGCGAACGTTAGGTGTACGGGCCAAGTTACTATGTGGCACTGTACCCTGGGACAAGGCCTTTTCTCCAACATTTTTCTTGCAATTGTGCCTTCGTGCACAGTCCCATTCACATACTGGGAAGCGGTGAGTTGTAGGAAATAACCGTTCTCCCTTGTCGCCACACTTTCCCAACTTCCATATTTTAGTTACACCTTCCTGTAATAAAATTTCTTACAAATATTTATTCCGCAAAAATTCGGATTATAATTGGCCTGAACATTTCTGATTTTAGATACCATGGAGTCTGCTCATAAGCGTCGCTTGAAATGTGAACAGTGCTCCAGGTCTTTCGAGCAGGAGGACCTTGCCAGACATCTGCTCACGCATGACCCTGTTAATAATGTTAAATGCCCGGTTAGTAAATCAACGTAGAATCAAATACAATGATATATCTCCAGACATATTAAATTTTAACAATACATATCAAATTTATAGATCTGCAACAAATCATTCAAACATCTTAAAAGTATGAAAACACACTTTGCCAATCACCACACAAATAATGTCCGATCGATTTGCAAAATTTGTCTCAAAACGTTCATCAATTCCACGATTTTGGCCCAACACACTAAGAGAATTCATAGTTCGGAAACCCGAATACGGCTCCCCTGCCAATTTAGTGGATGTGATAAGACCTACCTAAACAAGCCGTCGATCAACCTACACGTCAAAATGGAACATACAGATAACCCCGAAAGATTTACCTGCACTCTTTGCGGGAAGGAATTCAAACAGAATGCAAACCTTTGCAAGCATATTGTCGTCCACACGAAGGAGAAGTCCTACAAGTGCTCCATTTGCGTGAAGAGTTTTGGAGAAAAAGCTCACTTGAAAAAGCACCAGGTAATTTTTGTTATGACCTACTTAAATACAAAATTTATTAACATGCTGTATGTACACAACTTTCAGGTCCAACACATGGAGAAATCCGTACGACCAGTGTTCACCTGTCATAGTTGTCCCAGGGTATATTTCACCAAATGTGGCTTAAAAAGTTACATTCGGACTATTCACGAAAAACAGAAGAATTATCAATGCATAATTTGTGCGAAAAAATATGGACTGGCGCATCATTTAAAAGTTCACGCGGAAGCGGTACATCCATCTAGTGGAGCTGCTGTGCATTCCTGCAAAAAATGTGGGTACAAGTGTTTCTCCAAACAATATCTAGCCCAGCATATAAGAATACACGAGATTGGTGGGAAGAAGCATGAGCGTTATTTCTGCGGGTCAAAATTTATAAGATTTTCTCACTTGGTCGAACACGTTTCCCGTATGCATACTCTCGAGGCGCACAGATCGTTCTTAATGAGACCAGAATAAAGACGGCGTCGTAGGCTTTTATAATTACTAAATAAATTGGCCTTAATTTGGCGGACAAATTTATTTGAACTTAAATTTCAAATAAGTAATCATGGATTATTCAAATTATGTACATTATATCAATAAAATCCAGAGCATATTTACAGGTTGTCCCAAAATTTTATTTTTGATCATTTTTAAGTTGCCTAGGTAAAGAGGACCATAATCATGATGGTAAATCGACATAAAATTTTTCAATAACGCGTTGCACAATTCATCTTATGAAAATTAGGCTTGTATTCATTGCAAATTTTTGAGTAAATCATCAGCACTATAGGAACAGCAGCACTGATGGATGTAATTATGTCATGAATATGAATTTTATCTACCAGAAAGTCAAACTTGTTCTATCAAATATATTGAACACATATGACGTTCATAGTAAAATATAGGGGGTATTCACGATTACTTATCCTTAATATCGTATCCTTAATATCGTAAAATATTTTACAAAAAAAGAGTGGGTAAATATCAAGAGCATAGTAATGGGGTTTGCATTGCCAAAATCTTACCAAGTTGGCTAAAATCTCGTATCCATCGTAATTTATTTTACGATACGAAAAATATTTTAAAACTAGGCGGTTTAGTGGTACCCGTGGCACCACGGTAGTTTCTAATATGACATTTAATACGACCATGTGGCCTATGGTGTAACCTCGGATGATCTGGCCTATGGGGTAACCTTAGGCGGCCAGGGCCCCGGCCCGACTCTGGCTTCCTCGCACGATCTGGCCTACGATCTGGCCTATGGTATAACCTTAGGAGGCCAGAGCCCGACTCTGGCTCTGGCTGCTGGACTGGGTGCCGATATGGCTGCTCAGTAATACATTATGAGATAGGCTGAGAATAATACATAGAAGGGATGCGTTACAGACACACAGACAGACAGACAGACAGAAAGATAGACAGACAGACAAACAGAATTGGGTAAATATATAAGTTAATATTGTAAAATCTTACATAATTTAATAAATAAAATACTCCTAATATATTTAATCTTAACTATTTAGACAGGTTTTCCGCTAGAAATTTATATTAAATTAATAATCTACTACCCTAGTTAATCATTTCCAAAAACTAATCCTTATTTTCCTCGAAACAAGCAAACTTACCAATGTCTTTTAGTTGCGAAGGACCATCCAGAAAAGTACGTTGGGAGAGGTGCTGTGCGAAAACATCGTGCCTTCATGACACGAAACACGTAAGCTTTGGGGCTTTGAAAATCGCCATCGCGTCGTTTCTGTCGGTCCCCGATGATTTTGACAATCATTCGTTTAGGTAGGTGGAAAGAAACAATTTTCTGTCGAGGGTGCAACTTTCTCAAAATCAATGCCATTTCCAATCTGGACAAAGTATCGTACAAGGAGTTTAATAACGACTCATTCATACATCGTGGCCCATCACAACTAGTGGAACTTTCATGTGAGAAAGGCAGTGGCCTTGGTAGCTTAATGGGAAAGCGTCTGACATGTATTCAGAAGACGTGGGTTCGATACCCCCTAGGTTACTAAATTTTTCACAATATTGCAATTCCGTATTTAAAAAATTAAAAAATATCTAACTTTATTCGTCAATTTGAAAGCTTACATAATTGCATTCAAAATGGTGATTCTTTATTGCAAATATTGAAATAATCCGTTTTGATCAAAGCTTAAAACCTACCCAACACAACCCAAACCATCGCATCCGCTACAGTTCCTGCGAAATTCATTCTACCACCCCCGCTCCCTCCACCAAAATCTCTAAAACTATCACGACAGCGACTACAACAAGAGCCACAACGGCATGAAAATATGTCAGGGTGTGACTCATGCGCTACTGTTCCTTCGTCATGGTTAATTTGAATGCAGCACCATTTCGAATTGAACCTTAAAAATGCCGAATTTAAAATTTCTTTATTCTTCCGCATAGCTGGATGGGGACTTTAACTCTTACGCTTCTCATACCTCTTATCTTGGGCCATGTACCAAAAAAATATAGTTATTATATTGCACATGGTTCATACACATACATTTCCAGAACTGGATACTGCCTAAGTAATAACACGTGGTACATACGTGGTCGTCAATGAGAAAGGACCCTACTTCCTTGAAAATGTGCCCTTGGGCACAACCATCCAGTATATATCATCCACATAATGGAAAGTAGTTAATGCCAGTAAGCACCTACACTAACCACCAAATTTTGCCCTTGTTTAGTGAAAGAGAAATGGCTTAGCTCTATTTCATGCCTATGTCGGCTTTGAAAAGGTGTCCATTAAAACTGAAACAGGGCCAAATGGTATTTTCACCGCTACTCTTATATGCGATATAATGTTACTTTACTTACTAATGCTCTTATTAGTTAAACCGTTTAAGGGTGGTTTACTTATAAGCAATACGGAGAGGCATTGTAGAAATTTCTTACGAGGAAAGCCTTTCCTTTATCCTCTTCTTGGGATTATGCCTTATGGTACATATGGTTAGCATCCAGACAATGTACTGTTGCTGTTGTTCTAAGAGTCAGAAAAACCTCCGTCCTTTAAACAATCCCCCATAACTTTGGATCCAGAGGTCACACCCTAATGCATGAGGGCTCGTTGGAAAGCTGAGGATATTTGGGGGCCACCCCTTTGTAATTCAGTGACCTAAGCCACACCCACCCGGGACCACACCCCCTCAAATCCAAACTTTGCGCCTGTAAGCTTTATATAGTCATGTGGGGTGTCAATCGAAAGCTCCTGAGATAAGCCAACCAACCCCACAGTAATTTAACCTGATAACCACACCCACCGACAACCACACCCTCCATGTCGAAATTTTTATTTTCTTTATACCACATCGAGTGGGGTATCGTTGGAAAGGTCTTGGTTGTGGCAGCAATTCTGCGACACCAATACCACTATTCTGAGCCACACCCATCTTGGACCACACCCCCTGGTCGAAAAGTTTTATTTTCATTTAAACATATCAAATGGGGTATCGTTGGAAAGGCGTGGGTCTCACCAACCCAACGATAACGAACGTATAACTCTGAACCACACCCACTGTGAACCACACCCCCCATATATCGAAAGTTTTATTTTCGACAAAACCTATCGAGTGGGGTATCGTTGGAAAGGCCTTTGTCGCAGCAACTCTATGATGCTATTACCACCTCTCTGAACTACACCCATCATGAACCACACCCAGTGGGAACCACACCCCCAATGTCGAAATTTTTATTTACGTCGTTACTCATCGAGTGAGCTATCGTTGGAATGGTCTGGATCGCGCATCTCTGCGAATACAAAATTACCATCCTGCACCACACCCATCCTGAACCACACCCCCAGGTCGAAAGTTTTTATCTAAATTGTAATATATTGAGTTGGGTATCGTTGGAAAGGTCTTGGTCTCAACAATTCTGCAAAACCAAAATTGCCACTAAATTCCAATTTTTAGCCTGAATCAGAATTTATGAAATCATCATGTCTGTCTGTCCGTCTGTCTGTCTGACGATAACTCAAGAACGCGTTTACCGATTTGGATGAAATTTTGTAGAAAGGTGTATTTAGACAATGCAACGATAGAGTTCGAAGATGGATTTGATTCCTTTTTTGTCCAAAAAGATTTGGACCGGTGGAGGTCATCTTGGTGGTGTGGACTTTCATAACCAAAATGGGAGCCTTTGGGTTTTTTAGTTTTACTGCGGAATAAACGTAAAATAATTAAATCGGCACCAATCGGAGTCAAAACTCGGAAAATGAAGTTATATTGAAAAAATTCATATTGAATTTTTTGAATTTTTTGAATTTGAAAGATATTTATTAGCTCGCAAAAGGTACACCCATAGAGCACATACATATGTATATAATTAGTTAAGTAGAGTTCTATAAATTATTGGAATATAAGGCAAATTTCGTAAGTTTAGTTCTATCCTCTCGTTACTCTCCCACAAGATTCATAAACAATTTCCTTCTGAGCAGGCAAGCTGTGAGATAATTTGCTAACATAATATTTCCCTTCTCATCTAAATTTGCAATACAAACCTTGAAATTGTCTCTAGAAATTATTAATTGACAAAATAATGGATCTAATAGTAATTTTCTTGAACCGGAGTGGATTTTACATTCAAATAGGAAATGAAAGGTGTCTTCATAAGAATCATGGTCGCATATTGTACACCTTACGCTTGCCCCTAGGATTGTTTGGTGGCGTCGAAAGTAGAATCTGCCGTTGTTCAGTCGAGTTTGGGCGACTAATCTAAGCTTTGCAAGTGGCATGTTGACAAGGTTAATTAGGCGGTTTTCTTCTTGCAATGAGTGGCAATAGTGGTGTTTGAGGGACGATTGGGCTCGCATCGTGTCGTTGTTTCTGAGGAAGTCGGTGAAGTCCAGTAAAATGCGTTGTTTTTCGCTGAGGATTGCCCCGGGCTTCATCATCAAGTCCTGTGAGTTACTCACGGCCAGAATATCTCGGATGTAGGAGGTCCAGTTATATTTGTTCAGTTCTTGGCCTGGTTTTAAGTGAACGAGGAGTGCTTTCATACATTTATAAGCGATGCGTGATTCATCCATTAATTGGACTTTGATGTAGAAGTTTATCATTTGTTTGGCAATTTTAGACAGTAGTTTGGTGCAACTAGTTTCCATACGAATGGCGTAGTTGGCTACTCTGTTGTCCAAATGGAAGATTCTCTTTAAGAAGCGTGTCTGTACTTGCTCGATGATGTCTGCGTAAGGGTAACCCCATATATGGCTTGCGTAGAGCACTGTCGACATTGCAATACTTGAGAATAGTTGATAGTGGGAGTCCCAATTTTCTACTTTTCCTTTAAATAAGATGGGCCAGAGCGATCCAAGTGCACTCATTCCCTTCGTCTTGAACTTTTCTGCTGCTTTCCGAAAAAGACAGGAAGATGAAAATGTGACTCCAAGGTATGTATATTCATTCACGATTTTGATTGGTAATCCTTTATATGTAAAGATTATATCTTTTGGCAATCTTCCCCCCCTTCGAAATACCACGACTTGAGTCTTGGTCAGATTCACGATGAGGCAATTTTCTCGACAAAACTTCTCTAATTGGTTGATTTTTAGTTGAAGGGCTCGTTGTGATGGGGCTACGATGACCATGTCATCGGCGAATTTTAGTAGGTGCATCTCGAAGTAAAAAATTTTGGTTTTGCAGAATTGTTGAGACCAAGACCTTTCCAACGATACCCAACTCAATATATTACAATTTAGATAAAAACTTTCGACCTGGGGGTGTGGTTCAGGATGGGTGTGGTGCAGGATGGTAATTTTGTATTCGCAGAGATGCGCGATCCAGACCATTCCAACGATAGCTCACTCGATGAGTAACGACGTAAATAAAAATTTCGACATTGGGGGTGTGGTTCCCACTGGGTGTGGTTCATGATGGGTGTAGTTCAGAGAGGTGGTAATAGCATCATAGAGTTGCTGCGACAAAGGCCTTTCCAACGATACCCCACTCGATAGGTTTTGTCGAAAATAAAACTTTCGATATATGGGGGGTGTGGTTCACAGTGGGTGTGGTTCAGAGTTATACGTTCGTTATCGTTGGGTTGGTGAGACCCACGCCTTTCCAACGATACCCCATTTGATATGTTTAAATGAAAATAAAACTTTTCGACCAGGGGGTGTGGTCCAAGATGGGTGTGGCTCAGAATAGTGGTATTGGTGTCGCAGAATTGCTGCCACAACCAAGACCTTTCCAACGATACCCCACTCGATGTGGTATAAAGAAAATAAAAATTTCGACATGGAGGGTGTGGTTGTCGGTGGGTGTGGTTATCAGGTTAAATTACTGTGGGGTTGGTTGGCTTATCTCAGGAGCTTTCGATTGACACCCCACATGACTATATAAAGCTTACAGGCGCAAAGTTTGGATTTGAGGGGGTGTGGTCCCGGGTGGGTGTGGCTTAGGTCACTGAATTACAAAGGGGTGGCCCCCAAATATCCTCAGCTTTCCAACGAGCCCTCATGCATTAGGGTGTGACCTCTGGATCCAAAGTTATGGGGGATTGTTTAAAGGACGGAGGTTTTTCTGACTCTTAGAACAACAGCAACAGTATCTGCAGACGCATTTCTCATCAGCGCAGGTAAGTTGGGCACTCTCATCACAAATGTGGCGAGCATAAGGTTCTTCTGTATTTTGGTTAAAGTTGTACCATTTTGTACACTTTTCGCTATACTGCATCACTGTAATCTAGGGAAAATTTTAGGCGCAAATTAATTTTTGACGATATTTAGTAAGGAAAGATTATCAATACAAACGCAGATTACGCAGGGTGCCCTTCCGTACGGGATACTTTCTACGGCTATCTACTGAAACTGCTTGGTCGACGTCGGAAATTTGGAATTGCACTGACACCATGACATTTTGGCCAGTTTCGGGTCAGGCATCGGTACGCAGTCCGCTTCAGAATCGCATGTAAAATAATTTCCAGGGCGGCACTTTCCACCCACGTGTACTCGAAAAATACCAGCGACCTTGTCGAAATAGTTTTCTAGTGGGCTGGGACACGAACATTTTCCAGCAACGCACCTCATCAAGGTTTTCCTGCACCCACATTCTTCGTCTGACTCACATTGCAGAGTCAATGTCAATGTTGAATAAATACGTATTTTAATTTGTACAAGTACCAAATATTTATTTACGACGTAATTTTATAGTCGTCAACAATTATTATTTCATGCCAACTGTAAGATATACAAAATTATGAGAATCCCACAGCAAATTCACTCAATAACCATAAAACATACCCGTTTTTATTGCTTAGCAAAGATGAAACCCTGATAATAACATATATGCAAGCATAAATAAGTTGGGCGTCAGAAAATGAATAGATTAATCTTCTATTTTAAATGAAATAATAATTCTTATAAAAACAAAAAATAATGAATGAATGTCGTATGCTGGTAGAAGTCAAGAAGCATATGTATAATCTTTTCCTGTACACATCAAACCTTTTTGACCGTACATAATCCCTAAACAAAGGCCGAGGGAGACCGGTCTAATCCGTTCCACGTATTTTCTAAACTTTGTGAAAGCAATCACCGCTGCTCTATAAAAAATAAAAAATAGTATTCAAGGTATATAATATTTTGCACCGTCTGGCTTTATCCATTTCTACAATATAGCAAATACTTTAGCTATAAATCCCTAGAAGAAGTTACTTATTTTCTGATGCATAGTGACCTCATGTTAAACGATTTTTAACGTCCCAGTCTATGTATGTACCTTGTTGGGTGGCCGAGCTACTCATAAATTGAGATAGCCCAACCAGCGGTGGTAGAAATGATACCGTAGCACATTAAAGGATAATTGCTGACCAGTCTCGTCTATTTTGGGTGTACAATTATTATGTTGCGAAAGGGTCCTTTTTATCTATTTTTTCCTTTTATTCCTTTCCAAGGATGTCGACTCCTCACTTGGATTTTTGAATGTGCTCAGTGAATACCGTCTCTTAAACAGTACCATGTGCAACCTTGTGTGGAAAATATCTACTAAATTTTCAACGAAATTCTGAAATTCTCTACAAAACTTTTCCAAAAATTGGTGCCATTACTTTGGGTAGGACAGTTTTAAAATACTTGTAATTAAGTAAAATATTATTCGTTTGTTAAGAAGACGAGAAATAATTAAAAACTTAAAGTATCGAGCTTCTACATAATGCATTAATGGAAACTACCAAAGAATCGGGGTGGGAGTGTACGCACTGCCAAAAAATATTCAAACACCGATCTGTATATGCAAATCATTTGGTAATTCATGACCCGAATTCTCAAGTTCAATGTAATGTAAGTATGAAAAAATTTCTTGAAATATTTCAATTAAGTAAATATATTATGTTTTCCATAAATTTGTACAGATTTGCAAGAAAATTTTAAAAAATCGATTCACCCTTTATCAACACGGGCAACTCGTACATGGAAACCGACCCAGGCTTCCATGTGTAATTTGTCATCTAACATGTTACGATGGCTCACACCTCAGGCGACATATGAGAAATGTTCACCACACGTCGGAACGGGAACGATTCCCATGCACATTTTCAGGCTGTGAGAAAACATTTCTAAACAAAGGTTCCGTTGCAGTACATTGTCAAACCCATCATACTGAAAATCCCACCCGATTTTATTGCGCCTTATGTCCTAAGCACTTTAAGGCAAAAGCTATACTGCATCTCCACATTGCAAGCCATACGACAGAAAAGACCTACAAGTGCACCATCTGTGGGAGGAGTTTTGCAATCAATGGTGACTTGAAAAGACATCAGGTAAAGAAAAACATTTTCTTTCTAAGGTAATTATTAAATACGTCTATTATGCATAAGTAGTTGGTCCACCAAGAGAAATCCCAACGACTACGGTTAACTTGCCATATCTGCCCAGAAACTTTTCTAAGCAGACACGGTTTAAGCAACCATATCAAGGTTGTCCATGAAAACCAGAAAACTTACTCTTGCATATTTTGCGACAAGAAGTTCACCACGGCCACAAATTTGAAGTTCCACGTAGAAGCGAAACATCCATCTAGAGATGCTCCCCTTCACTCCTGCGACAAATGCGAGTACAAAAGTTGTTCCCGAATTTATTTACGTCGACACTTGACGCGTCACAAGGACAAGAGATACGAATGTTATTTCTGTAGAAAAATGTTCTTCGGTTTTGGGGATTTAGTCAGGCATTACAGAATTCATACCGTTGAGAGGTAGAATTACAATTTGTACGATATTTGTAAATACTGAACAACAGAGTTACGTGAATTTGTATAACATGTTTGTCTTGTTAAAACTACACTTTAAACAAAGATTGCAGAATAAAATGCGTTACAGATTGTCAGATATTATAAAATGGTTAGTTTATTCGCATTCTTTTGCGTATCAGAAAGGAGAAGGACCAGAGACTTTTTTGTGTTTTTAGTTGACTGGATTTAAACAATTTTGATTAAATTTGATTTAAAATTATTTAAAGAAATTTTGCATGTTATATACATAAAGAATTGTTAGTATAAAAAATAAAAGTATTTGATCAGCCAGGTTGCTAGCTTCGTATACTTAGGAAAAACTTCCTTAGCATACATAATTATCTATGCACAAAATTTTTATTTTAAACTAATTATAATTTTGGATCGCAAGACTAAGGATTGTTAAATTTTATTCTATCTTTTTAAATTTACATTACATTTCGATTCATGGCCTTCAAAAAGAAAATTAGTATTTTAAGTATCATAGAACGTTTTCGTCGGTAAATTAACGCCAGGTTTTTGTACACTTATATTAATCAGCATTTTTCTAGTGCCCCTTTATCTAGCTAACTCAAACAATTTAAATGTTCATTATATGTAGTCTATGGAGTTATTGCTACGAATTATTTAATTTTTATATTTGATCTGATACTTATCAAATATCCCAGTTTTCTTCGCGACATTCAGATCGTTTCGAAGTATGTCCAACGACGAGATAATCTTCGATGGATAAATGTCGGGAATGACTTTAGCCAGTTTTTTACTCCATGTAATATCTTTTTTCCCTCGTAGGAAAAGCAAATATTGTGCAGGGGGTTCATCAAGGTATCGTCTTCGCTCACTCTCATACTGAGTTATTTGTTTAATATATTCATTCATCGGAGAATTTTCTCCAATCAATTTCTTGACTCGGTCAAAGAAATCTTCTTGTTCCAATACATCGATGGTGACCCCCAATTCTTCAGCAAGTTCATCAAATTCACGTTCGTCACCTACATATGACAATTTTTACGAGTAGTTAAATAGATTTATCAACCATCAGCAGCAGTACAAATATTTACACGCATACCTAACTCAGGGTTAAGAACGTTATACATTTCATATGGTGTGCCCTCCATAAAGAACAATCTTCAAGATTGTCTCCTTCCCCGCGTTTAATAATGACTACACATTTACTTTCGTCCATACTTGATTTGAACAAGTCTACGTAATTTACCATCATCCGCTTATAAGTTTCATAATGATGAAGTGCATTATCGCCTTGGTAAAACGGCTCTGGGAAATAGGCCGGGTAACCCATCAGATTTCTATGACGAGTTTGACGATCATCTACAAGGCTACCGGAAAAATCAATCGCGGCCTTACACCAATCGTCCTCGGGATTAAATTGGAATGGGGGTTTTATATCTATCCGCATGTACACTCCGGTATTGTCATTAAAGTCCAGTTGTCCAATAATGGCTTGCACGGTGCCTTGTTCAGTAGATATTGTGATTTTACAATGAACCTTGTCTTTATGAGCAGAGTTTACTCCTTTTGGAATAGAAATTGACTTCAGTACGATATTATCATGTGAACGAATCCTAGAAAAATAATATTATGAAAATTTGTGTATATATATCGTCGAACTAATCCTGATAAGGTCCACCGTTATCTGATTTTAAAATCCGCTACTCCACGAAAATAAAATTTAAATGAGTGAATCTTGCTCTTATTAAAATTTGTGCGACGATATGCACCTTTTCTGAATTGACAATATTTACTCACATAATTGTTTCAGCTCCATTTCCATATACTACATCAGTTGCATCCTTAATCAATCTATGCCCATTAGTTTTCCTTCTTAGAAGAAAATTCTTAGAAATTTAAGTACGTGGAGATGATAAAAATTTTCCGCAAGTTAGCGAATTTCTAGAATGTACATAGTAAAAAAAATTCGCCCAAATTTAAACAAATCCTTATATATCTTAGTTCTACAGCTGAAAAAGTAAAAATATATAGACTAACAATGCAGGTTTTTCTCATGTAATACTCAGATCCTGATGGGACTAATTTTAATTTGTTCACCATTAAAAATAAGCGGACCCGTATTTTTGCTTTTTTTCCAATGGTCGCATTTGAGCGCGTGGCGGGATTTTCAAACATTTTTCCAGCCAAAATCTCAAATTTTGAAATCGCTCTAACATTTTGAATTTTGGCGCGAATTCAAAAAACCAAAAACATGTATGCTTAAAATTACTTCCTTTACAATATAAAAATTCAATTTCGAAAAATTTCGAAAATTCGTGTTTTTTCGGGATTTTGCATATTTCGAAATTCAAGAAAATGACTAAAAATACTTGAAATTTTTCGAAATTAAATTTTTATATTGTAAAGGAAGTAATTTTAAGCATACATGTTTTTGGTTTTTTGAATTCGCGCCAAAATTCAAAATGTTACAGCGATTTCAAAATTTGAGATTTTGGCTGGAAAAATGTTTGAAAATCCCACCACGCGCTCAAATTCGCGCATTGGAAAAAAAGCAAAAATACGGGTCCGCTTATTTTTAATGGTGAACAAATTAAAATTAGTCCCATCAGGATCTGAGTATTACATGAGAAAAACCTGCATTGTAAGTAGCTACCTATTCTCCGGTAGAACGAGAATGCATGTCAAAACGTCCATCCCTTCTTCACTACTGAGCAGGTTCTTAGTCGCCACTTTTAAAACAAATTCTGACGGATCCATCAACGGAAATCTGGTATGCTTTAATGGTTCGGCTAGGCATTTCCGAAGGTCTACTGGATTTGTGTGATCCAGGGATTGTCGCTCGCATTCAGCTATTCCCCATCTGGGTAAAGATATGGTTATTTAAAATAGATAGTAATACTAAATATATTCCTCCAACTTTATGGTGGGTTTAACCCACCATAAATTGGGATTTACAAATTTATTCTGTGAATTACAGAATTTATATTTATTTATCTTATTTATTTACTTACTCATTTATTCTCATTCTTATTTATTCTTATCTTACTTATTTATTTCCAATTTATTTAAGAATTTTGTAAATTATTACCTATAAATAGCTTCAAATACCTCCATCTCGTTTATAACTTTGAGTGAATCCTGCTTAATAATTTCAATCAAACACTCCAACCGAAGTTTGGTAAACTCATCGGATTTTAATATTATCCGAGCGTATCTGCTCACCAAGAGTTATTAAATTAACAATCGGATTAATATCAATATTCTATCAGATATAAAGAAGTTTTTTGTTATATTGTGTTTTTAACCAACTGTAATTATTAATCTTACCTGCAAATACATTTGAGCGTGCACTGTACAAACTCTCTGTGAGCATATTCCATCCCAGTTTGTAACATGCAAAGTGCATTATCCAATGCCAATTCCGTCCTTAAAACATTAGCGCATTCATCCCTTAACCCGTTGATCTTATAAACAGTTGCAAGTTCCATAAGTTGAATTGCATCGCAAATTTCAACATCTGATTTCCCAGTGTACAAAAACTATAATTAACAAACCAATTTATGATTTATACGATTCGGTGAATTTAAACTGAATCGTTGATTCTACCTTTAAAAGCATCTTAAAGAGGTGGCTATCGACATCTTCAATAGCGAGCTCCTCCATGGACACGTCGATCTTGTCATTTAGAATCGGAGAACCGGCCTGGAGAAATATTCTGTGCACTGGTATCTGCCAAAAATCGGTTTTGCAAATAATTTCTTCATTTAATAACTAACAAAATTAACCCAACTTCATTGGAACTAACCTTTAACCCTTCTGGAAGAATTGTGACGGTTAAATCATTTTGAAATCCAGTCTCCAATAAATTTAATAACCGATCGTCATGACTTCCCGTCCACTGCCAGAGTGGTTGTAGCATTCCTCCATAACCACTACTACTATTTTCAAAAGATGGTAGATTCTTCGATTTTAACGGCGTGTTGCTCATCTCGACTTTTGAATAATCTTTGTTTTTATAATTCAAATATTTAATAAATAATCAATTTTCACAATTCTATAAACACGATTATTTATAAAAATATCTTCAAATACTTAATTTGGAACCGTCCTTGTTAAACTATAACCGTGCACAATTCACTTTCACAATTAGCGTAATGTACATACATAGACATTTCATGGCTTATCTTATCTGTGTGCAAATTCTCGACAACCTCCACATCATCAGCCTTTTGCATTTGTACGTGACGGTTGTCATCCTCAAAGGATGGAATTACCATTACGGGAATATTATAGTTATGCAAAATGGTTTGTGCATTACATAAGCATTCAATATAACTCGCTTCATTAATTACATGCAAATATGGTTATTATAAAAGTACAGATCTGGTCATTATATGGATTTGGTAAAAACTGAAATAAGTATGTACTATAAACTATAAACATATATATCTGAATTGAAATTATGTATAAACTATTTACTTACATATACCTCGTCGAACAGATTACGTATGACAACATAAATGAGAGTTTAAATAAGTATGTATGAGACGAATAATACTTACGCAATAACAAAAATTAAGCAGTCATTAAAAGTATGTATCTAACAGTCATAACTTAAACTAGAATTTTACTTTTACTTTTCCATCAATACTTCATCCATATGCAAGTCCTGTCTAGTAGATAGTGGAGAGATTCTATTATTGCACCATTCACCGCCTTACCAAATAGTTATCTCAATTCACTTTTAAATTTTCCTGAATTAAATCTGTATTTTTGCACTACCTACAAACTTGGCAGTTAATGGTCCCAGATGTTTTACGCATGGAAACCCCACAAATTTATTATTCTTTCATAATACATTTATTTTAAACTATTTATTTTAAATTTAAAGTATACAGATTCCCCGCTGACCATAAAATTCATTCTGTATGATAACGCATTTCAGTCCTGACGAGCAAGAAAGTCCATGGGTAAATTTCTTGTCGGGAATAAAACATTTTCCACCTTCTCCAGATACGCAGCTTTTCTTAACGCTATCCCACTCCTGTGCCGGTCCAAATCTACATAGACATTTGTTGTTTACGCAAGCTAGGTGGGCATTCTCGTCACAACGGTCGCGGACATAATGTTGTATGTCGTCAGCAAGGGTGTACTGATCCGAACATTTTTCACCATACTGTAGTGCTACATATGAATACGTAGATTTTTTTAGGCAAAGTTTTGACATGAGTTTTTACTTTTAATTATTGAAAGTTGTTAGTATACCGTTTCTTTATCTTTAACACATGGGGCCGTCAAGTAATACCCAAGATCTATGCCGGGTTCGTGAGTTGACCTAGTCGATATCGGGTAGTTCGAATTGCACTGACACCACGATAGTTTGGATAGTTCCTGGTTACCTATCGGCACACAATCCGCTTCGCACGTTAAGTGATTTCCAGGCTGGCATGTTGAACCTACGTTTACTCGACAAATTCCATATTCCTTATCGAAGTAGTTCTATAGTGGGTTCGGACAGGTACACTTCCCTTCAACGCATTTCATCAAGGTCTGCCTGTACCCACATTCTTCATGTGAGGCGCATTTCTCGCATAGGTCGGCAAAAAAGTGTCCATCGTCCATCGTCCATTTTTTTGTCCTGCGTCCATCGTCCTGCGTCCATTGACAATTTTTAGTGTCCTGTGTCCATCGTCCTGCGTCCATCGACCATTTTATGGTGTCCTGCGTTCATCGTCCTGTGTCCATCGACGATTTTGAGGTGTCCTGCGTCCTGCGTCCATCGTCCTGCGTCCATATGGACACAAAATTGTCCATATGGACGCACATTTTTTGTCAATTTTTCATATCATAATCGTTAAATTTTATTAATATTGTCTAACGGAAGATCCCTTTGTTGGAAACACCGTAAAAATACAAAAAAATATTGTAATTTATGATGTTTGTGAAAGAAAAAAATTCTATTAGTGTCCTGCGTCCATCGTCCTGTGTCCATTGAAAAATTTTAGTGTCCTGCGTCCATCGTCCTGCGTCCATCGTCCATTTTCTGTGTCCTGCGTCCATATGGACGCAAAATTGTCCATATGGACGCTTGTCCTGCCGAAGTGTGATTTCTCGTCGAGTGCCTTGGAGCAGGACATTCCATCGTACGATGCAACCTGGCAATATTCACATGTGCAGGTTTTAGTTTGTCGCGAACAAGTTCCAGCAACACAACCTCGACCCAAATAATTTTCCGGGTCGCACGTCGATCCTATTAGAATTATGCATTTTTTCGTTCTTGGGTGATAAAATGCGTCTATCGTGTCAGGATAGTATGTGCAGAATCCATTCTGGCAAGCTAGATAGGCGATGGGGTTGCAGTCGTCAGCACTGCCGGTATTAATCTTCTTCGCACAGGCTTGTCCATACTGGAGATAGGCCTGCGATGGTTGTAAGGCCTCTGAAAGCAAAAAAGTTAATATCAGTAAGGATTTTGTAATTGGTTGCTGAGCCATCACAATTTGCAACAGATTAATATTCCCGATTAAATTTAGTACTTTCACTGAAGAATGATGGTTTTATATGGTTTTCTGGTATGACGTTCATGCAAATTTACAGATATCCAAATTTTATATCAAAAGAATAACTAATTTTTAGATTTGTTAATCTACACAAGAATATGGTGTAATGTCATTCTTCGTAATAGGCCAGCGTTGGCGAGGTGATGGCTCCAGATCCTATAAACGGCCTGGAGTTAAGCACTTATGAACCAACCGAGGGGTAGCGATGGGTGCCCCAAAAGCACACAAAACCTGCCCTGGGAGAAAACTGGCTGTCCCGCCAGTGAACTAGTGGTTGTAGCAGACCATTGGGGATCTGTTGAGGTGGTTGGACATGGTATCTAATCTATAGTACCATAGTATCACAAGGAACATACAATAAAGTATAATACCGTGGTGAATGGGACGCGATCAGGCCGCATTATGGGCTGATAAAATTGAGGTGGTGCCCCTGTATGCATTGTGTGTAAGCACAGTGGGTATGGCTATTCCCCCCTCCTGGTCGGTTTGCCATTCTTAATTGGTTTCTCTAACCGTGGTAGCTAGTTCGGGAATCCGAACTGTCATAGCTACTGCGGTGAAACTCAGAGTAACTCACAGCCACGGTATACTGTATAATAGGGAGTCTGCAATAAGCACTCACGTGCTAACGCAGGGTTGCTGTAGAGCCGTGACCTATAGCAACCCTGGTGCTAACGCAGCAGGGCTGGGAACAACCCACCCTACAAAGTACATACATTCTTCGTAATTCCTTGATTGCAAGAGAACGCGTTCCTCTCACGATGGGACCACATGTTATTATTGAACAAAATATAATATCAAAATAAATTAATATTATTAGGATGTCATGTTTTATATGTTCAGGTTATTTTGCGACGCAATTTCATGGTCGTCAACAATTTTCAATCACTAGTAGAAAATGATAAGTATATTTCATATTGCGTATTAAGCTCCCAGAAGTAATTATGATGATTTTTTCCAATTCAAATATATTAAAAGTTTGGAAATTATACAGTACAGATATTCTTATTGTTATAAAGTGTGGTTCAAAAGAATCTCCCTACCTCAACGCGAGGCATTTTTTTCAGTAAAAACATTACATTTCTCCAAATATACTTCACCTGGAGCAATATTTTTTTTTTCTCTATAAAGTAGAAGGATATGAGAGAACATGGGCAAACAAGAAGTAGGATTAAAATTTTATTGGGCGAGATATGGGGTCTTTCCTAAATTTTGCAAAAATTAGGAGTTGATGAGAATTCCGTCTGATTGCGTAAAGCTCGAAGATGGTTGGAAGATAAACCAAGGTCAGGATGACCGAGAGTATTGTCCTCTATCACAAAATATCAAAGTTCAAGAAATTAAAAATCAGATTTGGGGGGAACTTTAGGAAAACATGATTTCGCAGAAATGAGCGAAAACGATATTTGGAGAAAAGAAAGAGAATTAAAAATTACAGAGTATTTAGACACGTTAAAAAGCCATAGTCCGGATGACAATGGTATAAGAGACCTGTGTAGCAACTGTTACGTGCCCGAAACGTTTAAAATCGGAAGAAATTTAGAAAAGTTGTGCCGAAAATGGGGCATTTAGCAGACCGAGGATGAGTCTCACTGGCCAAGGTCCCACTTATAGGATCTAATTGAAAGTATCACGTATATTTAACTGACATATCAAGCTATATTATGTCGAAGACCCGAAGGAAATCGACAGTGTTATACCCTCAAAACATTGTGTCAAAGTTAAGGTTACTGGGGAGTGCGCGCGCATGGCGTCACGAAACTGCATATGACGGAGGATATGACCGTTCTCGCTTAATACTGCTAATACAAAATTCTTCTTATTTTCCATAAGTACATCAGAGTCAACTAAATATTTCTTATAATTTGCATGGTTCGAATTCGCTAAGACGGTGCGTCACCAAGCCTTGCAAAAATTGTTACCCTTGTTCTGCAACGGGTTGACAATGACGCATGGGGAAAATTATTTTGGCCAGAAAATTTACGAAATATGACCCCAATCGATAACTTAGGGCCTATCCTAATAAATTAAGCTCATTCGCCCCCATGGCCGAAGACGATTGTGGAATTATTCAAAAGATTCCAAAAAAAGTGGAACCGAATTTCGGTCACCGTTTTGGAAAAATTGATACTGTCGTTCAAGAAAAGAGAGGAGGAAATGTTTAACAATTCTGGGAGACACACTACATATTGGTACATAACTGCACCAAAAATTGGAATTTTTTGATTTCGCATTAAAAAGTTATTAACTGGTAAAGTTGAGTATAAAAAACTAGGGAGATTCTTTTGAACCACACTTTACGTCACACAGTCTGCATGGAAAACTAACAATGCATGTCATTTCCCTTCTACATATCATTACCTAAGTCATCCGATATTTAATAAATGCTGTTTTTAATGAAGAGATCGAATAAATTTTGGTTTAAGATTCAGACATATATTTGTAGACGCAAATCTTATGCAGCATTGAATGACAGTCATCGAAATGGGTCCGACGCGAAATAACATTAACATGAGTTATGGAACAACGGGCCCCTTAAAATAGCCTACTTGTATGTATGTATGTTAGTTTTAAATTTCATATCTTATTCCAAGTTTATCTATTAATTCACCTTCATTACGTCATAAGTAATAAAATTACCGATCGTTACGGCACATTACTTCTAAAAAACTGAATATGTATTTAATCAGTACAATCCAATCTCGCAGTGGTGTAACACCACAGGTGTTCCTTCTCTCTCAAAACATCTTGGTGGCGTAAAATCCTTTGCTATCATATTTACCAGTGTTTCCCACCCCGGATTTTTGCTTGGGTTAAATGCTGCGTAGAAAATTACCTCTTGAACGACACACGATCCAGCAAAATTAGAAAAGTTGAATTAAGTAAAATAGTCTGAACAACATCAATATGTTTCTATAAATATGGATACCTACATTTAAATGTGTGTTACATTGTTAAATTAAGTTTTATATTTGTTGCGTCTGATTTCTTCTGTAACACAATGTATGAACGCATATGAATGAAGCTTTCATACATAGGCCTGAGTGAGACTAGGGTTGAAATTAAGACAGGTACAGAAGGGTGTTCGCAGTATTGTGCATCACTTTAAATTACCTTGTCAATTTTTCAATTTTCGATGATGAATCTTGGCAATAGGCTCGACATGTAGCCCATTAGTTTGTCTAACGAGCCTTAACCTTTTTTACACGAAGAAATCACCCGTTGCACTGTTCCAGGGGTCACATTGTTGCACTCATGTTTTAGAACTTTCCAAATTCCCTTCAAAGTTGACTGTTTCCTATGAAACAGGCGCTGTTTCAGGTACCCGAATCCGAAAAAATCCATTGGACTTGTATCAGGAGACTTGACGGGGGTCTCCTTGGTTGGTGTGATTGTTATTCCGAGTCTTTTTTTTTAATCGGCTGCGTAAGCGGCCGTGGCGTGGAGACGTGTGCGATGGCGCTTGATCGTGATGGACCACAACTTTGTGCGTCTCGTTTCCGTACAGCTTTGGAATTTCAATTTCAAGCAAGGGCTTCAAAACTTTGTCAATATAGTACCTCAAGTTTATTTTGACTTTTGGAGGCACTTGATGTAGTGGAAGTACTCCTTTACCAGACATTGCTCCCACCTCCATGAACTTATCCGTCAAAGTTTCCAAGCGTGGGACGACTAAATTTGACGGAATTTTTTCGCCCTCCTTTCTGTAACATATTTTTCTTTTACCGTTGCAGTTTCCAAGATAAAACCATGCTTCATCCAACGTCACTGCAAATTTTGACTTTTCACCGGCTAAATATTTTTCATAAATTTTTCAAGAAGTCGTCTTCCGATTTTTGACGTGTCGAGGTTTTAGCACATGAACTCGAGTTTTGCGGCGCAGTAACAATTTCAAATCTTTGTGAATCACTTTATTTACAGTGCCCAGACTAATTCTGCACAAATTGGCAATGGTCCTTTGACTAGGTGCATTTTCTTTATGGACGAGATTATGGATCTTGTTGATGGTGGCTTTGGTGCGTTAGGAGCGAGGAGTTCGTTTAGGGGGTGTGGGCATGCCAAGGGCCGCAGCATAACGTCTGATCCAAATTTTTCTGATCACTTGGGACACTGTGCTCTATTTATGTTGATTCCGTTCTAATTTTTTACACACTTGTCTTTGGGACAATCCTTCTTTGGAAAAGGCCCTTATCAATGCCTCACACTCAGGGGACAAGTACATTGTCATTTTGACTCGGATTTCAAATTTTTTTTTACTGCGACGGGCAAACTATCTGACCATACTCACTTCAAATTTGGCGGGGTTATCTTTCCGCATTAAAAAGATATCACGATGACCGACTGATGCACAATACTGTAAACACCGTGTAAACTTGTTGTCACTATGAACCTTTTGCAACCGAAGACCTTCATTTATACTGGAACCATGTTCATAAAATTGATCTTGGTTTATGATCATTAAATTTATTATAATTTTATTACCATTACAAATGTTTCACTTAAAATCAGGTTTATTTTAACCATGTGCCAATGTTTTACGTCCATATAAACTCAAAGCAATCAATTTATACAATTTAAATAAACGTGGTCTCCTTGCAAGGAATCCTTGCACTGCAAATATTTCCACGATTCGCCGCCAGATTATCCCATTTGCCGCCTTTGTTCCGCTATCTAGCTTTACCATTACATGACTTTCACAGAATAGTTATTCATTTTAAATCGCATCTTCCCTTCATGACTTTAATACAAATCTGGGACAATATGCATGAATAATTTCCCCCTTAACTTCACTGCACATTAGTTTTATGGGTCTGCATAATGTGTACAATCCTAGCTTACAGGAAGGTGCCATCTCCTCCAAAAAATTCTGAAAAAATCCGTCAATTTGCTACGAATCTAATGGCACTTCAGTTCTTGTTGGATTCCTGTCACCTATGGCCACAATCCAGTATATGTAAAGATAATATTTAAATAGAAATTGTTGAAACAATGGTAAGCTTTCTTCTGAAAGACCATAGAGCGGACCTTTTCATCCGTCTGAATTTTCCTTGTCCACCTTCAAAAATAAATTTGTAATGATAAATCGACAGAGTTACGTAAATATTAAATTTCGATTTATTTACAAATCACGCGGCTACTGGAAAACGATTTTCTTTCTGTAGACATACAAAGATACCTACACTTTGAGTGTAGGTATCTTAGGACTTAGGACTAGGGTAAATAAGAGTCGATTTCTGGCCCAGCCTTTTTATTATTTTATTCTAATGGGTATGATGGGAGAATAATAAATCAGTAAGGTAACGTTGAAAACAATTACCCCACCCCTTTTCTAGGCCAAAATCCGAAATTTCAGATAGGGTACTTTCAGATATCGGTGGGCTATATCTTTAAAACTCTAGCATTTGCAATAAATTGCCTGATAGAAAAAATGAAGGTACTTACTAGCGTTACTTAAAATATGTGAAACATCCTAGGGATGAAATTCAAATTCGTAGATTTCTATGATGTGAATCAAAATTTCATGGTTTCTGATGAAACTTATACGACGAAGTGGGCATATGATGGAACCGCTAAATTGACCTTGTTGTGTGTTCGTAAAATTTGTTTTAATTTTATTGCAATTGTAAATATTTTTCGTAAAAACCGGATTAAAATGTGCCAATACATTATATTCATACTTACTAAAAGCCTTCCATCTCCACAAATTTATACAAATACTTATTTGTAAAATAACTACTTATCCGATAACTATATTTTTATGACTGGTATACCACTTTTTTAAATTTTCATACACTATTTCGAACAAACCCTTTCAGATATATCAAGACTAAAAATCAAACTCGAATTCCAACTTCTCAATCATGCCGTACTTATCTGCAAGATTGTCTCCATCAGGTCTTTTAATGTCGACAATGCCCATACTGTCTGCCATACTTGATTTAAACAAATCTTTATAATTAGCTACAAAATTCTTATTTCCGGATCTAGGACATACGTTCGTATTTATTCTGTTGGCCAAGGTTTGGCCGACAGAGTGATATCCGATGTAACCGGAAAACCTAATCGAGATATTGATCCAACCATCGTCTTTATTAAGTTGGACGGGAGGGTTGACCTCGACACGTAAGAATTCATTGTCCATTTTATCGTCTACTTTTCCATTACAAGTTTGCTCCCTTCTCTGTGTCCATGAACTTTCCCCGTCTCAAAAAGCATATGTGAATATGCTCAAGTGGGGCCCTGCGAAGCATAAGATATGCATTCAGCGTGGGTGCTGGAAAACTCTCACAAGGTTTCAGCCAAAACGATGCGTCTAATCGAAAAATGAGAAGAGGCAAAATAGTTACACAGTGGGCTAACTTAATTTCATTTTTCTTCTAATTTCAAAATTTATTAGTTTTTCTACTAGAAATTGAATTTTGAAATTTTGAAATTGCTGATGTCTGATAAAAATTTAAACTTTTAAATTACCATAATTTCACAAATTAATGTCCTAGATATAGTCTATTTTTCATCTATAACATATGTGGACCTAAGATTATTATTGAATACGTGATAGACCAATTAAAGATTTTATCGAGTTATACAGCAGTCTATAGTTAGAAGTAAGAGGGCAAATGAATGTAGAACATACATGTTGTTATGGTAGTCCAGTGGTGTTGGGACAGGCGGTTAAACACATGGGATCCGAGTTCGAATCCCCTCGGATTCCAGTTTTTTGCAACTTTTTTTCGCGTTTAGATCATTCATTTTTTTATAAATTTTTCATAATTTAAATTTTAAATTTAATATGTACAAATTTTTAGAGCGAGGCAGGGCTAATGTAACCGTCATGTCTGGCCGTCTTATAAGACGGCCAGAGTTATCGTATACGATAACTCTCTTTAAATTTATCCGATTTGGTTGAAATTTCCACCATATCTTTATGGGGTAAAATTACGAGCCAAGTTCGAAGATTAGCCAAATTGGCCCAGCGGTTGACCGGTGGGGGTCATACATACAGAAGTAGGAGTATTATCACCAAAATTTTAAATTGGTCGTAGAAAGCCGAAATTTGGTACCAAGGTCATTAATGGTTTCTAATGAAAGAATATGGAGTGAAATTTGGAAAATTTCTAACCGGAGGTACCCCTGTGGGCAGTGTTCGACAAAAAGCAAAAAAGCAGGACCAAGCGTATACTTTTTGCTTTATTGTTTTTTTCTGCTTTATTGCTTTTTTATGCTTTTTTTGCTTTATTGATTTATTGACTTTAGCTCCATCTTTCCAACAGATTTGTACCACAATGATCATCCAAATTTCTTTTCGAGAAGTAATTACGAGAAGTAATTTCAAATATATATTTTCAAATCTATTTATCTTAAAATGCAAGAAAAGAGATTTATGTGCGTGAAATTAAAATTCATTCATTATTTTTCAAGTGCAAACATTTAAAAAGCAAAGTCACAAGTAATTTACACAAAATTGATACGTATTATAAATGTAGATTCTACATTTATAATACTTATCAATTTTTAATCTACATTATAGATACATCAATTTAACATTTTCTCATAATTTCCATTTGCTTGTCAACTTTCTACTTCCGGATATAATTGAACTAGTGTCTAGCAACGCCCCAATTTCATAAAAAAGCAATAAAGCAATAAAGCATCTCATTTTGATAAGCAATAAAGCTGCTTTTTAAAGCAAAAAAGCAATTTTCCAAAAAAGCGCTTTTTTGCTTGGTCGAACACTGCCTGTGGGTGACCCATAACGATTTTCAAATATTTTCCTAGAACCTTGAAATCAGACATACAGGTCTCTGGTTACTTCAAATTAAAGAATATGAAATTAAATTTTAAAAAATTCACCCTGGATCAGCCATACTGATTTTTAGGCTCTCATTTATTTAGTCAGCCACTTTTGGTCATTGATTACTTTTAGCCAGTTTTCACCGGCCAGTGTAAAAATGACTTTGGCCAGCTAAAAAGAAACACGGTAGGTGAAGTGATGTCAAAAAATTAAACCCGAATAAAAACTAGGAAATAAATACTTTTACAAAAAAAGGACTCTTAGGTTCGACATCGCGATAAAAAGAAGAAAACAAGTTTATTGTAGGATAACAACTTTACCGAAATATTAACTATAATTAGCGAGTCTTGCAGTATTTGCTGAACCGCGGGCCAATTGCTTTCCATGGTTATATTATTTTAGTAAGGAAAAGTTTGTTATCAATTTTCTCCTTTATCCATACAACGTTAATTTTTCGTATCCATTCCTTTTCCTTCTAAATCAATTTGCTGGACTCACGAATCACCAGTAAAAGCTTAGTTTTGAAAATAATATAAATGTACTTGTACCAACATAATCTGCGCCATTTAAAAATTAAGTTCTTTCTAAGAATCTTTTGTATTCGTATAAACAGTCCTGATGTATTACATGCACATAATCAAATATTAGCCATATATTTACGTGTGGAGTATGTGAATGGATGGTAAAGTCACTGTCATATTTTATATTTAAATTTTATGAGCTCGCCAATAAAATCATACTGGAAGATTTAAAAAATATGTCATTAAAAAGTGTTGAGGAATTGGCCCGCGGTTCAGCAAATACTGCAAGACTCGCTAATTATAGTTAATATTTCGGTAAAGTTGTTATCCTACAATAAACTTGTTTTCTTCTTTTTATCGCGATGTCGAACCTAAGAGTCCTTTTTTTGTAAAAGTATTTATTACAAGTCAAGTCTCCCTTCAACACAGTAGCGCAATCGTCCCTTACCCCTTGATATCATATTCCGTCGCAAGTTGCATTAAGTGTAGAGCATCGCCCATTTCCACGTCAGACTTGCCAGTGTACAAATACTACATTCAAAAAATAAAAATAGAAAAAATAGTTATCATTTTCTGCATCTTTTTCTACTTTTAGCATTATCTTGAAGATGCCACTGTCCACATTTTCTATGACCAGATCCTCTATTGAAGCCTTGATCTTGCCATTCAGCACTGGAGAGCCGGCCTGGAGAAATATTCTGTGGACAGCAACCTAAATATTTTCCAATGTGTATTGCTAGTTGCTAATTACTTCATTATAAATAAAACAAACCTTTAACCCTTCTGATCCAAGGTGTAGGGTCAAATCACTTTGAAACCCAGTCTCAAGTAAACTTAATATCCGATCATCATGACTTCTTGTCCATTCCCATGTTGGTTGCAACATCCCTTGAGAAGTATTATTTCCATTGAGTTTTTTAGAAGACAGACGGTTCCCGGACATTATGAGCTTATCAATCTTTTAAGCTATTCTAACGAAAGAAATGGCAGATTATTTAACGGAATACAAATGTCAGAAATAACTCTTCTTATTAGTAATAAAGCGTAACACTTACGTAAATTTTCCCCAATTTAATTTTGGAATATTGTATCGTTAAATATTATTTGACTACTCACAATTTTCCAATGAGTTAAATATGGGCACAACAGGACATCCTTTATCTAATCAGCATACAAATACGCAGAAAACCTGCGATAAGCCATGGACCATTCCTTCTTGGGAACGTGGTCTCTCCTGCATTGGAAATATTACTACGAAATGCCACAAGGTTGCTCCGATTGCTGCCTTTTTTCTCCATCTCGCTGTTATGTTGTATGAATGTCATGCCACTTTGGCATTATGTGCATACATAATTTCTTTGTTAACACATGCATGGAGAGCTTTATGTCATAAATATAAATGAGTCCGTTTACAACAGCTTCTATTTGTAATAAAGTATTAGTAGTCATACCGTGCTAGATTCATGGACATAATTTACTTCACTTTCACTGAAATAATTTGATTTAAATTTTTGTTTATGCATTAATTATAAAATAATTTGGGACAAGATAACAAAACTGCCAGGAGGACCTCTTGAATTTTAATTTAGTTTGTGTCTATTTTATTATTCTTATTTTCATTTTACCACTCTCTGTACAATTGTTATATTTGAAATGAGGATGAAATTACAATTTTCCTCGGCATGAATAGAACCTCTGATAGACATTTAAATACACAAACTTCCAAGCGTAATTACAAACTTCGGCCAAAAAAACTATCATAGCTACAGAAAACAGAGCCCCGCAGATCATAAAAATTGTCACAAGTCTTCCATTCATACCCATAAATGAAACAATGTCGGATGTATCATTTGCTACTGGTCGTCTCTGCTTCCACATATTTCTTGCCATTTCCCTTTTCAATCTTGAATAAATCCCAGAATGAACCAGAGCTTTAAATCTTTGATGAACGGGAGATATGCTTCTAGACACTGGACTCCTACCTCCACCAAGAAAGCTCCATCCAGACCATTTCTGTTCCAGGAGGTCGCTTCCAGAATAAAATTTCTTTGAAGGGTAACTTTTAGTAAGAAAATCCATCTCTCCCTCAATCAGTGCCAGCATCCCTACTAGGACAGTTTTCTTCTGACAAATTGTAACATCTCGCTCCACCAAATCTTGCAGTTCTGTAGTAGTATACGAACTCTTTGTGAAATTGATATAGCTGGGAAGAAAGTTATGGACTGGGTTCAAAAGAAGGAGGTAAAATAGCTCGGCTTTGCTAATTTCTATAAAACTTTTCTTATTGAACTGAAATTCCTTTAGTAGATTTATTATATCATAGAAATATTTGGCAGCTAAATGAGTATACCATACGTACGTTGTGCCAAATGTAGTTTGAGCCGGGGTTGAAAGCATTCTAAAACAGTTATCCGAGTCAAACACATTTGGAATAGTTGGTAAAAATAAACTACTTTCCCCAATACTCAAAATATGAATTTAGATGGGCATCCTTTGCCCATCCTTCAACATCTTGATAATCTTTGCTGTTGAGAATATGTCTATCTCGACATATTAGGTCCTGGAACTTTTCCGGCGTGATTGTATCAACGGTGCGTTCAGTTCTGTTATCATTATTCCCGTATAACAATTTGTTAACAAAACAGCAACCAATCCCAAAGCGCTGAATAAGATACGATAAAAAAGCGTATTTGCTATAGATTTTGGAACTGATGTGAACTCATCAAAAAATAAAGATAGGAAAGACAAAAATAATGCAATCGCAGATCGCTTAGGCTTCCAAAACATGTAGAAAGATAGAACCATAAAAGTCAAAAGCAGACTGGATATCAAAGCTAGCCACACTGCCGGGTGGAACGGTGTCACGTAGAAATCGAAAGTTATATAGGAATCAGCATAACAACTCAGAAATTGGTAACCGGTAGAATAAGTGTATTCGGAAAGCATGCCTTCGTCATTGCGAACATATAAATTGGTTTCTACCTCCATGTTGGCCACCACAAACGGACCATGGTCCCACCATCGCTTTAAAACAAGCGTCGCATTTCTCCCTGATTCCACAACTATTGCTGCCATGTATAGTGGCATGGAGATGTAGGTCTTACCATCAAACGGATTCAACGAAGGGTGAGGCAACTTTTTGATTTCGATAAAATCATCTTCCTTCATGTTTGAAGGATTATAGGACCCTACCCAAATTTCTTGTTGTGGCGTAAGCCTCTCATAACTTGCTAGTATTTTACCGTCGTCTGCTAATTTACAATCATAGTTCTCCTTAATATGAGGTAACAACCCCAATCTTTTTACACAAATTTGTACACCTAGTCTAGAGATGAGGAGTATGAACAAACTTTCATAATAATTACTTTGACGGTTGATTTTTCAAAAAGTTGTTGCTTCCTCCAAGCCCAACTCAGTTATAATTATTGGGTAAGTATTTTTTATCGACGATACAAATTTCCAATGTCCTCTCAATTTATACATGTAATGAAATGCATTAGACATCATCAGCCAAGCTGTAAACCTGGGTGTGTCATGACTTTGCATATTTTTGGTAAGTAGACACTTGCTTAACCAAATACTTATCTTATTCCCCGCAGGTCGAGTTATCATAACGTCAATGGTGAATGACAAGTCTCTGATATTTGTGAAATTATGCACTCTTTTCTCAAACTGCGGCATAAATATTATCGTTCTCGCGAGCAATGCATCTTGCAGGAATGAAAAGTAGTCCGAGGACAAATCGACGTCGTGGAGGATTTGTAGGTCACAGTTTTCAACATGTTGCACAATCTTTTTTGGAATTGCAACATCACTATTATCTTTCAGAGAAAAGCAAACCGGGTACAATATTACCCACAGCAAGACCACAGGACCATATACACGATGCATTATAGAGATAAACATTCTTCTTAAAACAAATTTAAAAAACTTGTTACAATACTTTAAACAGGACACATTGCACCCGTTCCACAAAACTGAGCGCTCACGGACAGAGCGCACAGATAATACTTATGACATATCCTGGTTTGAAAAACCTCATGCTTACATAGATAGCAGAAGACTCTTGAATATGCAAATACTAAAAAAATTTAATGTCAATGTTTAAGCAACCCCTTCTACATATTAACCGATGTATTACATATTCGAATTTCGAATATGTAATATATCGGTTAACTTGGAAGTTTAAATGTTGGATTCGAATTTCGAATCTTTGATCCAACATTTAAACATTAAAGTTCCCTAATTTACTAATACTACAACTCTAAAATTATTTCATGAATTTTGTCGGGTTAAAATTGTTAATTAACGAATTTCCCTAGTTTTCTTTAAAAAGGGCCTCTTACTGCTGTACCCACAACTTTGAGGCTGCAATTCGAGTACAACTTAACAGTTCTCTATAACGCCTAGTTATAGTCCGAAATTAATTTTCATCTTCCTTGTCCTTCAACACTATAGAAATACATGACAGGATAGGGAAAATGAAAATTAATTTCGGACCAAAAACTAGGCGTAAAACATGAAAATTTTGGGATATAAATAAATTAATTCGCATGTTTCTCAAGACTATTTTTTTGTGAATTTTTTGTGAAATAAGTGAAAATTGTATAATGAAAATACGCATGTATTATGCGTTATCCTGTCTTTCTATTAAGGACCATATAATTGCCGAATAAAATTTGAGATCGCTATGTTTTCGTTCAAACAGGTGCAATGAGTCCGGGTGAGACGAGTGCTCTTGTTGGATTCCCAAACAAACAATGTCTTATGTTCCGTTATGCGTTATACTGTGTACAAGAGTATAAAGACTTCAAGTTAGGTTTAATTTCCTTGGCGGATAAACACCTTTTCGAGATACTGCAGTAAGAACTGACAGATAGCTCGGACCAGGTAAAATCTTCAATATTCTTAGATCTTAAAGTAAATAAACACTGAGAACTCAAATTTCTCCAATTATTTTGTAGTATCTACTAGCCTGGCAAAAGCCGTTGTCCCAGTCTTTAAACAGTTTCTTTTATTTACGTAAGTATTTGTGCTGAATTTTATTCAAGTACTCCATTAAATCGAAAATTGGATAAGTTTGGGGCTGTGGAATAATTGTAATGTAACTTATAATTCTACAAATTTAATTGGCACTCAGAATGTTGCCAAACCCTTTTGTTGTGTTTTAATAGAACCGACAAGCCATTGCCTTATCACGGAATACGGGATATAAAGCACATAAAACGGGATAAATTTTGCACATAACCGAGTTTTACATATGATGACAAAAAACGATTATTTTAAATTGTCACGCAATAGTCAAGGGAAGTTTCTTTTGTATGCAAATTAGTGTTTTCCGGGACCTGAGGTATCTTTTGTTAAATTCAGTAATTTGGTTGAGCATTATTTAAATCATTATGTGGTTTAGGAGAAGAATATCTATCTGCATGACAACATTTTCGGAAGATAGCTTGAAATTAAAAATAAGGATACCCCCTGTTTGAAAACTCACGAAACATTTCTAAAATACTGGTAATTGCTAAAATTATATGTATAATTTTTTGGGCCGAAGAATAATTGTAAGGTAACTTATAATTCTATGTATTAAATTGGCTCTAAGAATGTTTCCAAACTCTAATGTTGTATCTGAATATAACCGAGAAGCTATTCCATTATCCCGGAATATATACTTGTATCAAGCTTTACTAAAATGGGATAAATTTTGCACATACTTAACCGGGTATTACATTTGAAGGCAAAACACGATAATTTTAAATTCAGACTGGATCTGGTAGAAGGTTGAAACATTTTTATATAGTGCCAGGAGCGTTAGCATAATAGATTGCAATTACTATCTCATATAACACTACATACGTGCAACGTTATATGCTTAAACCGCTGGGCCCACTGCATATTTCCATAGTGCAGGCTTGCTGGCAAATTTCCAATTTTGTACGTTCTGTGTTGAAGTACTTAAATATGTAGTTTGAGGAAGCACACCTTCAAAAACGTTATTTCATAAATAAAATATTTATTTTATTTGTCTCTTATATTTTTTGGTCAACTGTCAACTCGACGTACTCTAATTGTCAGAATACATTTAATGGGAAAAATATAGTTCTTATTCAATTCAATTCAATCTTTATTATAACGTGACTGCAAAAAAAAGTAAAA